CCTAACACAAGTTAAAGTTTTCTAGAGTACGGCCTTTATACAAGTGGATTTACACATTTCGTTGTCTACGATTACAATTCGTTTGTATTGTGCCAGAAATGTTATATTTAAAGTACTGTTACGATAAAGATACTGATTTGACCGGAAATGTTTTACGGGTCTCTGCTAATATATATATAATACTGATAAGTTTTTTTATATTCACAGTAACCACAAAAAATACACACACATATAAGTATGTTTATATAATGTGTTCTACTGTAATAGCAAACTCATATCGACTGGTCTTATTTTTTTAAAAAGTTTATACAATGGTAACTTCTGTACTGACCAGTATTTCTAAATGTTTTGTTAATAATAGTAAAACGGAAATATTGAATACAATGCCCCCCCCCCAAGTGGCACAGCGGTATGCCTGCGGACTTATACCGCTAGATACCGGGTTTCGATACCCGTTGTGGGCAAAGCACAGATAGCCCTTTGTGTAGTTTTGTGCGTAATAACAAACAACAATATTATGTACAAATTAGAACTAGCATACATAGCTCCTGTACAAATAACGATTAAAATACGGGCTTACATAGCACAGCCCTTATGCAAATGAAGCCTAAAACACTAGCTACAGCGATCACACATATTGCTTGTACAAATAATGACTAATGCGCGAGCTGCGATAAAAAGTTCCTTCTTAACACAGTAAGAGGGCGAGCGTAGCCATATAATTAACGTACCGGACTGTGGATCCAAAGTTCTCGCCCCGTTAATGTTACCGCCAAATGATACCACATTACTATACAAATAATAACTAAAACATGAGCTACAATACCACAATCATATACAAATAAGAACTAAAACATGAGGTACAATACCACATTCCTATACAGATAAGGACTAAAACATGAGCTACAATACCACAATCCTATACAGATAAGGACTAAAACATGAGCTACAATACCACATTCCTATACAGATAAGGACTAAAACATGAGCTACAATACCACATTCCTATACAGATTAGGACTAAAACATGAGCTACAATATCACATTCCGATACAGATTAGGACTAAAACATGAGCTACAATACCACATTCCTATACAGATTAGGACTAAAACATGAGCTACAATATCACATTCCGATACAGATTAGGACTAAAACATGAGCTACAATACCACATTCCTATACAGATAAGGACTAAAACATGAACTACAATACCACAATCCTATACAGATAATGACTAAAACATGAGCTACAATACCACATTCCTATACAGATAAGGACTAAAACATGAGCTACCATGGCACAAAGGTACTAAAACAAAAGCTCCTGTGATATTTCTGTTCTCAAACACAACTTTACTTTCTCTATGTACCAACCGACTTCAATAATTTCAGATCAGTTTTAATCTTTTTCTATCATTTGTATGACTAAATGTTTTCATATCAATACGATAAAAGTATTTGGAAACACTACTTACAGAGAAAATACTGCCTAAGATATTTTAGTAGCTAATATTTGTTTATAATTAACGAACAGATAACTTGGTGTTTCTGCTTTAATGAAAAGCTACGCAATGAGCCATCTGCGTGCTGTCTAACGTGGGTGAATCGAACCCCGCATTGTAACTCCATAAACTTCCCAGAGGGGTACTAACTAAATCACCTAGAGTTCTCTTTCGAAACATGTTCACTTTGGATTCTATACCAAAAATAACTAATAATTATGTTTCGCATTAATAATCATGTTTTGGATGTGTGTGTGAATATATAAAGATGAAATTAAGTATAATTCCAGCTTTTTTTGTTGTCAAGCACCAAACTACACAATGGGCTATCGAAACCCAATATTTAGCATTATAACCGTTCAGACTTACCACAGAGCCACTGGGGAGAACAGTGTCTTGTGAACGAGATGTTTAAAAGATCAAATTAAGTTTTAAACTATTCTTCTAAGAAATCCATATTATTGTTCTTTTTCAAGTTTACGTCTAATACTGTTCGTAATCATAAAATAACGCATTTCAACTTGCAGACAGAGATCGTGCCACTGACGTAACGAGTGACGTTTAAATTGAGCTAACCTTCATTACTTACCACATCAAATAAGTAAAAGCCGTGAGAGACAGTTGCTCGAAAGGTGTCTTTGATTCAGAAGTTATGCAGACAAAATGAGACTTGTTTGTAGAGAAAGCGTCGCTTATTCTCCATTGGGAGAAAAACACACTAAACTTAGAAGTTTGTGTTACAGAAGCAAGAATTTGTTTGTGATATCTAGAATAACATGCACTTTATTGGGAGAAAAACACACCAAACTTAGAATATTGTGTTACAAAAGCGAGAATTTGTTTGTGATATTCAGTCTTTGTTGAACTTAATATAATATTTGTATTAGAATTGTGAGGTTTGCGGTTTAGATGAATAAGGAAGTTTGTGTTACAAAAGCGAGAATTTGTTTGTGATATCTAGAATAACACGAACTTTATGAGGAGAAAAACACACTAAACTTAGAAGTTTGTGTTACAAAAGCGAGAATTTGTTTGTGATATCTAGAATAACATGCACTTTACTAAGTTGGTGTGTTTTTCCTCCATAAACTGTATGTTATTCCTGATCCACCACTAATTGTTTTTGCTAAATAGAGTTTATGCATTCAAAACCTTCAAAGAAACCGGACTTCACTCACACTGTACTGTACTTCAAATGTTTCTTTTGTGCTGGAACTTCGGAAAATGTTTACCTTTTCTACATCTGATGCAAAAATGTATCTAAGGGATTTTAACAACTTACAAGTTTAATATGGCCTGCATGCTGTTTAGAAAACAAAACTTATTGTTATCGTCTTTGCTGTGTACAACCGAGAAAATATAAAATATTTTTTCACATCCACCCCGTATGTGCAGAAAAATTCTATTTTGTAACAAAACGTGGGTGGTGTTGACTAGTTTCCTTCCCTCTAGTCTATCATTGCTAAATTAGGGACGGCTAGCGCAGATAACCCTCGTGTAGCTTTGCGCGAAATTCAAGACAAACCAACCAAATCCTCCTTGATTTCCTGCTTTGATTTATATATATATATAAATATATATATACTGACTCGAATCTAAACTTTGTATGTATTCATTTTCCAGACAGTCTTTGAAATGGAACGATATTTGAGGGACGAGCCAAGAATCTATCAATGTAAGCAACTTCCGGAAGGTCTACAAGAACCCTTGAATCTGATTACGCTGACAAGTGACAGGGACTCTATTACTGAACACTTAACTCCAGACCCAGATGAACGTTTAATTACTTTTACTTCTACTACAGAAAGCAGAATTTGCAACAATGACGGTGGAAATAGCAGTGGAGGAGAAGATAGGCTTAGTGTTTCCGATTTGGATATCAGTGATCATTACTTTGATACTATGATACCTAGATCCATCAATTGGAAGACTGTTGAAAGTGATATCAAGTCTACTGAATTACCGAACAGGTTTCACGGGTTGAAAAAGAAATCTCTTCTGTCTGTGCCTGATGGCGAGGGTATATCCCTAAAGCTTCTCACTAAAATAGGAAAATCATCAGACAGCGTGGCGAAGCGTACTTTAGCGCCAGGTGTCGCCACTTTACAAGTCTCCGTGGCCGCAAAGGCTTCCGTTCTTCAAGATTCAACAGTGCCAACCGCGACTTTAGAGACTCAGATGTTAGCAACCTTAAAATCAACTAATCCTTCTCCCGACTCCCAGTGCCGAATTGAACTGGTTCCCGACAGCAAGAGGAGAACCCACAAGTGCCAATACAGTGGGTGTAAAAAAGTGTACACTAAATCGTCACATCTAAAAGCTCATCAGCGTACTCATACCGGTAAGTAGCTTAAGAATGTTTTCTACAAAATACAACAGTTGCTCAAAAAATATACCCTAATGCAGATTTTATCATCAACTGAAAATAAATGTTTTATATAATTCTCAAATGTAAAATTATACTTCGAGTTTCGCATGTGTGTGTGTGAGTATGTGTTTTGTTATAGTAAAGCCACATCATACTATCTGCTATGTCCACCGAGGTAAATCGAACCCCTGATTTTAGCGTTTAAAATCCGCAGACTTACCGCTGTCCCACAGGAGGACATCAAAGGTTTTTTGTTTTTGTTTTTGTTTGTTTGAAGTTAAGCACAAAGCTACAAAGTGGGCTATCTGTGCTCTGATTGAAACCTAGTTTCTGGCGTTGTAAGTCCACAGATATACCGCTGTGCTACTGTGGGGGAGGGGGGGGGCTGGTTTCGTTTCGTCGCTCTTACTTCATGCTTCATTTCTCTGGAGCCAAATAATTACGTCTGATGTGATGATTCTTTTCCTTTTATCACAAAAAAAAATATCGGAACAGTAAATAAAAGTCACAAAAAAGAACAACTTGAAATACTGATTTTATAGTTAAATGCAACATTTTGAAAATATAAATGTCAAACTTGAACATATTTAGTTAACGTAATATCTAAAAGTAGTAATTCTGATAAATTATGCGCTAATATAATTATTCAGCTCTATTATTGTTTAATTTATTTATGATAACTTTAGGTGCAAGATTCTCATATAAGCCTTCTCATTGGTGGACAAATTTACTTCCTGTAAACAACTGAAACTTTTGGTAAAACATGTTTAATTTTCTGTTAAGTACCAACAATATTTTAAATAATTTAAAAAAAAATTGTTTATGTTTTAAATTAATGATAATAAGATCTTTAGTACACGATGTAAAGTCAATGTCTTTAAAATCTCTAACTCTGTTGAAAATTAAGTTTCTAAATTTACGTTTTACCTTAAAAGAATAATTATAACTAGTCTTTTTTAACTTACTGCTTCAAACATGATCTTAATTGGTTGAAATTTTATTTCGTAAATTAGTAAACTGTGCTGTATTACAATCTGGAGAAAGCGTTTTTATTATTTACATATCATGTGCATATTAATTTTGTGTCAAAGTGTTATACAAACATTTATTTAAATTAATTTATGGATTCAAAGTTGAAATGTACATTAAGAAATTGATATTGGTCTGGTTTGGTAAATTTTAATCAACTTCGGGTCTGGCAAACCAGATCTCAATAACTGAACTATGCAGAAAATACAAACTAAACCAAACCAGATCTCAATAACTGAACTACGAGGATAATACAAACTAAACCAAACCAGATCTCAATAACTGAACTATGCAGAAAATACAAACTAAACCAAACCAGATCTCAATAATTGAACTATGCAGAAAATACAAACTAAACCAAACCAGATCTCAATAACTGAACTATGCAGAAAATA